TTTTTTTTTTTTTAATTTGCTAAATCCAGCCACTCCAAGAGGGACCCAGAGTGACCGTGGCTTAAGCAAGATTGTTGACTTCGTCCAGCTAGCAGTCCAGGTGTAAGCAGTTCAAGCCAGTAAGACTCCTACACAGCACCAGGCACGAAGGCCCTCTTTGTTCTCTGCCTTCCCTAGAAGTTGCCTTCATTGGCAAAATAAAACATAGCTCGCCCCCCACGTGTACATCCCAGCCAGCGAGAAGGGGGAGCAGGAAAAGGAGAATTTACCCCTCTTTATCTTATTTTTCCCCTTCTCTGTTAAGGGCCAGACTCGGAATGTGTGCCTGTCATTTCTTTTCACGTTCTGTTGGCTGGAACTTGATCACGTGGCCACATATAGCCGCAAGGGAATCTGGGAGATGTAGTCTTGTCACATGCACCATTCAAGTTCAGGGATTCTGTTATTCTGAGAGGGAGAAAGGAAAAGTGGATACTGGAGGAGAGCTAGCGTTTCCTAGCACGGAGCACCATGTAATAAGAGGAAGAACAATGAAAGGGAAAAATGTTGAGGAAAAAGAACCTAGAGGGCAACTGTATCTGTAGCTCCAAAGAGAGATCTGGGCTACAGCAATAAACTTGGAAGTGAGAGAAGTGTAGAGGACCCTAGAGGAACAGAAGTATGAACCGCATTTTGCAGACAGAGTAACTAAGGCACAGGGAGGTTATGGAGTCAAGGTACTCATAATAGAAACAAAATACGCAGCCTTGACTTTTGGCCCACGACTCTTTCTCTTTGTGCTTTCCCAGAAGCTACAGCTACGTGGAACTCATTACTAACAGCTGGTGGCAAAGCAGGACTCAATTTGAAGCACTTTGTAGAGCGTTTAAGCTACAAAGGGAATTTATTGGATCGCAATAATTGAAAAACTCGGAGGGACTTGGAATTCAGGTTGGGCTGGATCCAGGAGCACAAGCAGCATTCTCGAGGCTTGGTCTTTCTGCATCCCTCAGCCGACTTCCTCCATACAGCGACTCTCTGTCAGCAATCCCATCCAAAAAAGGAGACCTACTTCCCAAATTCCAGCACAACTCTCAGGCTTGAATCTCATCGG